GGGGCCAAGAACATTCACTGGAGGAAAGACAGCATGTTTAGCAAATGGCGCTGGCAAAACTGGATCTCCACCAGTGGAAGAATGAAACTAAACCCCTATCTTTCACCTTGCACAAAAGTCCACTCCAAATGGATCAAACTGATGCCTGATACTCTGAAACTGTTAGAAGAAAACATTGGCAAAGACCTACAAGATACAGGTGTGGGAAAGGATTTTCTAAACCGGACATCAGTTGCTCAGGAAACAAGGTCAGAATCAACAAATGGGACCCCATTAAACTAAAAAGTTTCTGTACATCAAAGAAACAACCAAGGAAGTGAAGAGAAAACCCATAGAGTGGGAGAAATCTTCACAAGCAACACATCTGACAGAGGTTTAATATCCATGATATATAAAGAACTCAAAGAACAAAGAATCAAGAAAGGAAACAACCCAATTAAAAGAGGAGCTAAGGAGCTGAACAGATAGTTCTCAAAAGAAGAAATAAAAATGGCTAAGAAGCATATTAAAAGGTGTTCAATATCATTAGTAATTAGGAAATGCAAATTAAAACCACTCTAAGATATCATCTTACCCCATTCAGACTGGCTAAGATCAAGAGAACAAATGATACCAAATGTTGGAGAGGATGTGGGGAAAGGGGAACGTTCATCCACTGCTGGTGGGATTGCATACTTGTTAAACCCCTATGAAAAGCAGTGTGGAGAGCTCTTCAAAAACTACAAATGAACTTACCATTTCATCCAGTCATACCACTCATTGGCATATACCCAAGGAACTCATCTTATTGCAGAGACACTCATTCATCCATATTTGTTGCTGCTCTTTTTACAATAGCTAAGGATGGAAACAATCTAAATGTCCCTCAACTTGACCAGTGGATAATGAAAATGTGGTTCATTTATATGATGGAGTTTTTCTTGGCAGTAAAGAAAGATGAAATCATGACATTTACAGGCAAATGGATGGAACTAGAATCTGTTATACTAAGTGGAGTAACACAGACTCAGAAAAACAGTGTATGTTCTCCCTTATATGATGATCCTAGCACCAAATCCTTAAAAGTGAGTATGTATCCAGACATAACTACAGAAACCAGGGCAATGAAAAGGAACCAGGGTGGTAAAGGACAAAAAGAAACTCAAAGAGAAGAACAGTATGAAAGAGGTGTTAATAAAGGAGTTATGGATAAAATGGGGTTATTTTAATGGGAGTGAGGAGGGAGGGTTTACAAGGGACCTTGGGGATAAAGAGAAAGAAGAACTGCAAGAGAGGAGAGACAATAGGAGAAGGGTATTATTAAGTGAGAAATGGGAAAAATAGGGAAACCATGGTGGAAGTGTTAGACAATGAGAGAGATAAATAATGCCTAGATAGTTTAAAAAAAATCAGAGGGAACCATATAAGTCCAACAACCTACTGACAAATTATACATATAACTTGCTCAAGGAACATAATTATGTCTAGTCAATGTTTATCTGAGAACATTTCATTCCTGTCCAAGCTTTCTCTACATAGCACATGGTAATTAAAAGTACTAGACTGGTGGAAGTAACGTTCTTGGATATTTAACAGCCATACTTTGAGGCCTATACTAATCTGGTCAGAGGGACTTAAAGGACAGTTTATGTTCCCTGCTCTCCAAGGTTGACTAAGCTCCAGGGGACTATGGAGCATCTCCCAAATGTCCTGTAACTGTGGTGAGTCACCTGTCCTCTTGATCAAGGAGGCTGTGGAGACCCCACCAGATGGACTTGAACCAGTTTCCAGTCTAGAAAGGGGGGGGGGTCAACCAGAGGAAAAATTTCCTCCAGTTGAAGCCAGCCACGGTTGAGTAGGACCTCTGACTTATCTTCACATAGATGGAACTGGTAAAAGAAAGGAGCCTGGAGCTCCTCCCAAGGCCATGTGACCCCCAAGGAACAGATCCTTAAATGACCTTAATAACAAAAATAAATTGGTTAATCTGGGCCCACTCTATGATCTTAAATCACACAAAAGGAAAGTACAACTAAAGACTAAAGTGATCAGTATAATTCTTTAAGAGTCCATGTGTATAGCTAAAGGCTACATAATAAGAAACAATGCCAGGAAGGAGATACCTTCCTTTGAGTTATTGGTCATGGTGGCCCAAGAGACTCCCAGACAGTAACCCAGCATAGAAATGGGCATGAACAGCAGACCCCAATCTTATATCTAAAAGGAATGTTGGCATCTAATTGCTGCGAGATGAGGAAGAGCTGATCTTCCTAAAACAAGGAACTCTAATAGGCTGACTAGACTCAGCAGATGGAATTGCATTGGGTAATGGCTGTAGGCACTGATAACACAGTGGACAGTAACAGGGATGACAGAGTATATGGGCTCCTGTTACGGGGAGGGCTATGGGATGCTGTCATTTGGGATGCAGGTATAAAGATGAATAAGATTGTTTGGGATGTTCTGTATGAAATACACATACACAAAAAAATCTATAAATTTAAAAAAGAAGTTATTCTCCTTCACATCGTGTTTCTTTTTCACTCATCTGTATGTCCAGTTCCAATCATGCTCCTTCCAGTGGCTGTTTTCTTGTCAAAGTGTAGTGTTTATGGGAGAGCATACATAGTATGAAGATTTTACAACCTACCATTTCAAAGTTTGGGGCGATGTCTCAGTTGGACAATGGCCTTCTATCTAAGTATGAGACCCTGATGTCAATCTCCTGCACTCATGGAAAAATCAGATAATCCCAGTGCTAGGGAGGCTGAGACAGAGCTTGATGCCAGTCTAGCAGAATTTGAAAGTTTCAGACTCAGTGAGAGAACCTGTCTCAAAATGTAAGGTGGATAGTTGTTGGAGAAGACACCCAACATCAATTTCTGAACTCCATACAAACATACATGTATGCATACACATACATGTGTACATGAATCTATACCTATACATTCACATATGCATAAATACATGCACACACACAAATTTTCTAATATTTCATCATAGCTCATGTATTCTATCTCATTAATATTACACTTAATTTAACAGGCATATCATGGTAAATATATGCATATACATATAATAAAAATATACTTAATAGAAGACATAAACTTTCTTTGGAGACAGTTTTGTTGTACAGCCCAGTCTGCATTGGAACTTACTGTGTTACTCAGGTTGCCCTCAGATTTGAGATTATTCTCCCTCAGCATCCTGAGGGCTGACACTAAACATGGGAGCCACCATACCTAACCCATTTTAATCATTTAAATGCCTGTCTTTCAGATCATTTGTCCATTTATTCATTGATTTATTCCTTGGTGACGTTGAGTTGTATGACTTCTTCTTATAGATATAAATCCTTTTATCACATAACTAATTTCCTTTTTTTTTTTTTTTTTGGTCTTTTGGAGACAGGATTTCCCTGTATCCCAGCTGGCCCGGAGCACTCTATATAGATCAGGCTGGCCTCAAACTCACAGAGAGCTACCTGTCTCTGCGTCTCAAGTGCTGGGATTAAAGGTGTGTGCCACCATGCCCAGCTTGATTTTCAGTTTTTTTTATATGGGGTTGATATCCATGGGCTCAAGCAATCCTCATGTCTCAGCCTCGTGACTGTTGATACAAGTGTGCAAAACTTTGTCATTTCTATGTGAAGATATTTTGATCCCATTATAGTAATGCTTTCTAACCATCTTAACAGTTTCCATTCATAAAATTCTTTTAATTTTGATGAAATGCATTTGTTTCTTTACTTTTTAATTTTTAAGAATTTCATACATGAATATTTCATTTATATATTTTATACCCCTCCTTCCAACTCTTCCCATGTCTGTACAATTCCTTTTCAAGTTGGTGAACCCTTCTTTGGTCATTACTCTTACACATACATACATACATACATACATACATACATACATAAATCTTTTGAGTTCATTTAGTGACAAAATGCATTGTATGTAATTTTATCTTTAGTTGCCTTTTTAAAAATGCTGTATCCAATAAATCATTCTCAAAAACAATGTTATGAAGCATGAAGGATTGGGTTCATATTTCTATAAGATTTAAAGAAGGAGTTCAATTTCATACTTTGATAATTGTCTTTTCTTTTTTTCTTAGGGCTATTTGCTAAAAAGTATTTTCTTTTTTCCATTGAATTATTTTGAGATCCTTATTAAAATCTTTGAACATATTAAGTGACAATTTGTTTTTGCCTGTATACTGTAATTCATTACTCTACATGCCTGTCTGTATGCCAATAACATGTTTCCATCACTTTAAATTTGTAGTAAGTTTAAAAATTAGAAAGTGTGAATTAGAAACCTTACTTTTCAAGGTTTCAGTATTTTTTGTTATTTATGTTATGTTGATATAAAATGATCCATGAATGTACTTCCTATTTCTGCCAAGACGGTCATTTGAATTTTTCTTTTAATTTATATATCATTTGGATTATATTTACATTGTAACATGATTATGTCTTCCAGTCCATTGGATTATGTGTATGAATGTATTGCCTGCATGAATGTAAGTATACCTGTGTTGTGCAGTACCCATGGACATCTCCCTGGAACTGGAATTAAAAATGGTTGTTAGCTACCATGTGGGTGCTAGGAAACAAACTTGGGTCTTCTGCACCAGCTGTCAGTGTTCTTGACTTTAGAACCATCTCTCCAGCCCCCAGAAATCTTTATATTTAAAAGGAAGAACTGAAATTATGTTTTGGTCTTGCACTGAAGGATTAGCCCTGGAGGAAAGATCCATATTCACAATATTTAGGTACTATGAGAATGGAGGGATCACAGACACTCATGAAGATTGGGAAAATACACACACACACACAGAAATTCAGAAGCTATGCTTGAACTGATTTTATTTGCAGTGGGACAAACTTAAAAACAATGTAGGATCCAACAACCATATAACATTTGTGCTAACTTCACAGTTGAACACCCAAGGAAAGCCATTGTGAAGTCAGAATTTTAAGTGGATTTTGAGGCTCCAGATAATTTGGTTTATTAGAACACCTAGCAATTCCCCTCATGACTGAGAGTGAGCTTCCCATTACTCAACCTGGAAAAAATAATAATGAGAGAAATCAATGACCAAGTACCTGTTGCATCACTACAAAGGGAAATTAGATTGTTGTGAAACCACTGGGGAAATAGTAGGCTTAGCTGTTGGCCCATGTGGCCCTCGTCAATTGCACTGAAAGTCTATGAAGGTTGCATCAGCCACTGCTAGTCTCTGACCCAGTTGGTTTACCAATAATACAAGAGAACTGGTGATTAGGGTCTTTTGTTGTGGAAAGTGGTTACAGGGAACACTTCAACATTTATTTATACAAAAAGGATTAAATAACCCACAAATTACATAATGAAAATAAAGGAACAACCTTACATCTATTTACTTTTTCATTGCTGAACATCAAAAACCTCTGAAAATTTACTTTATAAATATTTCCTAATCATATAACACATTTTAAATCTTTTATTATTATATTTTATTTGCTTTAATTCTCTGTGTGAAGATGGGGTGGGTGTATGCCATGGTGCACATGTGGAGGTGAAAGGACAGCATGAGAATATTGGTTCTTTCCTTCTCCCGTATGAGTCTCAGGGTTGGAATCCATGCTGTTAGCCTTGGTATAAGCAAGTTTACCTGCTGAGTCATCTCTCTCATCCACATATTACAATTACAATTTTTAAAAATATTTTATTTATTATTTTTTATGAATAAGTATTGCCTGCATGTATGTAAGTGAACTTGTGTCATGCAATGCCCATGGAGGTCAGAAAAGGGAATTGGGTCCTCTGGAACTAGAGTTAGGACTGTTGTTAGCTGCCATGTGGGTGCTGGGAACCGAATCTGGGTCCTCTGCAAAAGCAGCCTTAACTGCTGAGTCATCTCTCTAGCCATCACATACTACAATTTTTAAGCAGCCTCAAAGAATGGTATTTTTGTGGATACCACTTGAAGATATTTTTATTCATCAAAGCCCATTTTTAACCTCATAAAAATTAGAATGTTATTTCTAAGCAACAATGACTAATTCAGGAGCTCCCAAGTCTTTGTACTCTGACATGATTTATTTTCTTCTATTCTACTGTAAAAATTAAAATTCTTCCAAGGAGAAATTTCTGAGTGTTTTGTTTACTATTTTACTTCCAAGTCTTAAAACACTATGCAGTACATAGTGGCTATTCAGTAAATATTTGATAAATGAAAATTCAAAAGTAAATTTGTCCTACTGTAATAGATTACCAAACCCCACTCTCCAAGACTTAACTGAACTTAGACTTAAAGAATTGGATATCTTTAAAAATATTTCTTTAGATAATAACAGTCAAGCTATTGCTGAAAGAAACCTATTTGAACAGAAAATATTCTTTTCTTCTCTCTGATTCCAAAGGAAAATGCTGTCACATAGCACTATAGATCTATAGACTTTGTGTATTATATGGATTAAGGTAATAATTCAATTCTTACCTCTTTGCTTCTTTAAATATACAGATGTTCCCATAAGTTTTCCCATCAGAGCCACAGACTGGTTTGTAGACAGATTCACATTTGGTTTTCTTAGCTGGGATCTTGCTGCTGGTGCTCCCAGCCTGTGGTTATGTGAATGTTCATCAGATAAGAACAAGCTGATTAGTTAAATTCAGATATTATAATAAAAACCTTCACAACTCATTAATTTTTAATTTTTTCTTGAATGATTTATTTATATTTTATGTGTATGAGTGTTATTCCTGCACATTTGTAAGAGCACCCATGTTGTGCAGCACCCATGGAAGACAAAGAGGGCATTGGATTCCCTGGAACTGGAGTTATGAATGGTTGTTAGCTGCCATGTGGATGCTGGGATTTGAACATGTGTCTTACATAAGACTAGCCAATGCTCTCAACCACTGAGCCATTTCTCCAGCCCATAACTCATTTTATTAAGAAAGATTATTCTTTACCAATCATTTTATTATTATCTTAGTCAATACAATATAAAAAAGTCTACAGATCTATAGTGCTATGTGGTAGTATTGAAAGAACACTATGTTTTGACCCATTTCTTACCTATAGGCATGGAAACCTATATAGGTACTTTTGCGCTCAAGTATGAGACCATGAATGGATTAAATACCCAAACAGTGACTCAAACACCAAGTTATTTACTGCAAAGTTCACATCAGAAAACTAGTTCTTATATTCTTTAGGGACAAGTTTTAACCCTAGTGGGAAAAACAAGTCATGTAAATGTCATACTGACTTTTGTCAAACACATTATGACTTGCTGGTATTTTTCCCTTGGCCAGTGAATGAAAGATAATTATGAATGAAAGACATAGGATTACGCATAATTTCTTTAAACAGTATCTGAGGATATTTTTTAGATATAAACTACAGAATATCTAGAAGCCTGGGGATGTAAAGTTTAGTCTGACCCATAAAGCTTGCAGCCTTTATATGACAGTAATTCCTTTCATTCACACACTGTCTATAAAATGGACATAATTATTTAGAAGCAACATAATAATGTGAAAGTTGTGTAACCTGAAACCTTAGAGTACAGCTGGTGGTGTTAAGTTCTGGATGGCTGTCATCTCCTTGGGAAAGTAAGACTTTATATCAGTCAAAAGATATAAAGTGGAACAAATAACTGTCCTCAGAAAGATGAAGATTGGTAGTTTGTTAAAAAATAAGGTTTGCCTTAAAATGAAATGAAGTATTCCAGCAAATTATTTCAGGCATGAGTATAACAGGGGAGTGTTCAGTGTCATCATTAGTGAAACAAGGAAGTTGTTGAGAGAAGGTAAGTGAGGTTCAAACATAGCAGAACCCAAAAGAGGATGTAGGAGACATGCTGGGCACGTGAATGTTCAGAATTTTGCAAAGATGGTTCTATGCATCAAATATGTTATTATTCCATCCGACGAGCAAATCAGGAGAACCTATTATATATCTCACCAATTGCAGGCCATTAGTAACAGGAATGAAAAAAAAAGACACTTTCCTTTCCAAAATATTCATGGTTTAGTTGAATAAATAGACAATTACAAAGCAATAAAGCAACTCTGTGGTGTGGGAAATCATTACAATATGGAAAACATTAATTGGAAATTCAAGGGACTTTGTATGATACGGAGCATATGTGAGCAAACATGACAAGCATTACACGGAATGGCACTGAATAGCACATGGGATCTTCGCCATGCAAAGCCATGAAAGTCATGTTCAGGAGTTTGAATTTTGCTTCTAGATAACAAGAACCACTGACGAATTTTGATGAGGGGATTGAACAAAACAGATCAGAGTGTTATCTGGGATTATCACTTTAGTAGTTGGTAGACTTTAGGTGAGTAGAAATGGGTATGAAATCTAAACATGAAGGGGGTGTGAGCTTAGTTGACGAGATTCTGAATTAGTTCACTTTAAGTAGAAAGGGGTTATTGAATAAAGATGATAGAAATGCGATATGGCATAAAAGAATAAGTCACTCCAACAAGACATGTGAAAATGACATTTCTTTCATTTTGTTTAATTGGCATCATTGGAAATTGTCATGAATTTTAATATATTCAGTTATCCATTTGTGGGCTTATAAAATAGAATGACTAGGGTAAATTAGCTTAAAGAATAATAGACATTAAAACTAACCTGAATTGCATTGCCCTTTGAAAGGTTGTCTACATTTTTTTGTTCTCCTTGTTTATAAAATGACCTTGGTTTTCTTTGTTGGCTGGAAGATTCTAATTTCCCATGCTGACTGGAAGACCCTGGCTTCCCTTGCTGGCTAGAAGATCCTAAACTCCCTTGTTTTTCAGAAGACCCCAGCTTCCCTTGTTGGCTAGGTGACGCTGGCTCCCCTTGTTGGCTGGGTGACGCTGGCTCCCCTTGTTGGCTGGGTGACGCTGGCTTCCCTTGTTGGCTGGGTGACGCTGGCTTCCCTTGTTGGCTGGGTGACTCTGGCTTCCCTTGTTGGCTGGGTGATGCTGGCTTTCCTTTTTGGCTAGGATACCCTGACTTGCCTTGTTGACTAGATGATCCTGATTCTTCTTGCTTGTTAGAAGAATGTGAAGTCTCTTTTTGGTTGGATTCTCTTAGCTTTCCTTGCAAAATCCAAGCACTGGACATCTCAGGTTTGTTCAAAACTTCTGGTCTCTCTTGCTGATTCAAATTCACTGGTTTTCCTGGCTGATTGGAATATCCTGGTTGTCTTTGAAGAATTAGCATTCCTGGCTTGTCTTGTGTGGGATGACCTCCTGGTCGATTAGATTCTTTCTGTCCTCTTCCAGGGTTAGCTTCACTTTTTGTCTCAAGAGTAAGTGCAGGTTCTTGATTCTCCTCTAGCTTGAAAACACTTGGCTTTGAAATCTGCATAGAAGACACTGGAATGACATGATTAGAAAAAGAATAAAAATGGAGGTATTTCAAAGAAGTAAAGATCAAGAGCAAAGAGCCCAAAACATGGTTTGTACAAAATGAGTTATTCATTTTTGTTTAATCGAGTAGGAGTCTTCCAATTCCTTTTCATAACTTGAATATTTTGACTTACTTTATCTTTTTCTTTATTGGATTATAAAGATATTTATTTCAAAAGGCATAGCATCTAGCCAGCTTGCTCATTGTAAATCATAAATCTGGCATCTTTAAATTGAGATTTCCTTTGCCCCAATTACTTTGTTTATTGGGAAATCAAACAGTCTCAATTTAATGTTTATTTCATTTTAATATTTTTTAAAATTATTTTTAAATTATGTATATATGTGTGCTGGTGCCCCTGGAGACCACAAGAGAGCTTGGATTCCATGGAGGTAGAGTTACAGGGCACTGTGAGCCACCTTACGTGGATGGTAGGAGCTAAACGCAGGTCCTCTGGAAGAGCTGTATGTGCTCTTAACCTTTGAGCCATCTCTTCAACCATCAATACGTATTTTAAACTTCTGGTATGTCACAAAACCCGTTTTACAGATGATCTAATCGGCTAAGAACAAAACACCTTCCACGATGCAAGGGAAGCCTTACTTCTATCATTTCTAGCAAAAGCTTCTGACTTCAATCATGCTGTCTCTAATGTTTGTTTTTCCTCTTTCTTTTTTGGTAAAATTAAAGAATATGATAAGTATCATATGTATTTCTTAAAGCTTATGCATCAAAACTTACATACTCTCTTTGCGAATGTATTTTAGTAACCCACATATTTTTTCAAATTATATTCCAAGATGAGCATGGCTTAAAAACAATAAGTAAATGGAATGACTCTGCAACTATAGAAAAATGCTATTTTAATGGGTCTTTTTACCATTTGTAAGTAAGAGTGTTTCTTTTATCTCCTTTCTTTTTCTGTTTGATAAGTAGTCCCCTTTTGCAATGTGGGGGTTCTTTCAAGTTTATATTCAAAGTTACATTTTTTTTCCTGTCAGGATTCTTGGTTAATTTCCTGCTCACTTCATGCAACCTAAAATCTCAAGGTAAATGATTCCAATTTATATATAGGGTCTCACCTGATTTATAAATTTCTGTGTTTTATGTTTCTATAAGTATGTACCTTTGAATCTCAAATCAAAAGAAACAAAATCAAATGCATCAATGCATATGTGGATCATGCTTCATATAATGCCAGTGGTAGTTCAGGTCCTAGTCAGGGCAGAGGACTTAGAAGTTAACAACATTCTGAACTAAGCTGACATTACATGAAGAGGAAAATTTCGTCATTCATCTAAATCACAAGAACGTTTATATTTAAAGAATTTGTTACTGTGTCAGAACTATGGTAACAGCTAAAGATCAGGCAAGAACAAGGTATTTATAACCCTTCCCTCATGATGCTGAGAGGCCTGTTAAAGAGTATAAATATGTAAACAGGAAGCTATAATAATATGATGAATTCTACAACATGCAAAATAAACTAGACAAGAGACTTCTAAACAAGGTAGTGTAGGCAATTCAGTAAAAGGTAGAAGTTATATAGATTTGGAATATGAAGAAGAGAGAGAGATGAGATAATCAATGTCAGTATATATCAGAGTTTTAAAATCATAAAAAGAAATGCAAAACAGAGCAAAAACCACAGCTGGAGAAAACTATTTTCCTTCTCAGAAGTGATAAGAGAGATGGCATGCAACCAGAAATAAAAGAACAACTCCAGCAAACCATGAGCATAGGCATGTGTTTTTCAGGTGCTAAAACACAAAGCTTGTTCAGTCACAGTCACTGGCATCAAGTAGAAATCAATTAGAGAGGCCATGAGATGGGAAACCAGTTGCTACGTTATCTTTTATCAATTACTTTAATTTCTGAATAGATGACATAAGTAAGTTGAACTCAATCCCAGAATTACAAAATGTGTACAATTTAGGGTAAGCTTTCCTGTTTTCTGTCCCCTTCCCTCCAAATGCTTTTCCTACTGAGAAAATTTATCACAGTCACATTTATCAAAACTGTTGAGTGGTTTTATGAACTATTCCAGAAATATTCCGTGTATTTACAAATATATATGAATGTGTGTCCTACACACTTGGAGGCAGCTTTGCTTACCACTCTACCACCACAATGCACCATGTCCTGCACACCTAGAGACACAGCTTACTTACCGCTCCTCTCCTTGTTTACTCCTTCGATGATGGAAGGAAACTTTCACTACATTAATATAGAGAGTGCCTTCATTCTTTCCCCTTGATGACTGTATCCTACCTTATCTTACTGATTTATAATGATTTATTTAATCAGTCTTCTAGTAACAAACACCTAGTCAATTTTCCCACTTTGCTACTACAAATAATTATTCAATGAAAATCCAGAATACCACAGTTTTCTTACATGAAAAAGAAATTTATAAGATTAAAAACTAGACTTGAAATTTTGTTGACAAGGTAAATAAGATAGCATAGCATATGAGACATGGTGGCATAAAACTGTCAACTAAGCACTAGGGTGGCTGGGACAGGAGGACCATGAGTTCAAGTCGAGCCTGGCATATATGTCTCAAAAATCATGGACAATATACAGTAGTTTGACTACAAACTTTTAAGCTAAAAATTTAGAGAGTAGTTACCTTCTGCTTTGGTTTTTGTTTTGTTTGAATTTTCTTTTCTCAATTTACAAAAAATAAGGCATTGTTTTCATCAGACCTCTCATCCCCTTCCAAGTTCATATGACCACTATCTTTGACATACTTTCTTCTGTTGACAATAGTATGCTGAGTGTTCAATCACCCAGCAAGATTCCAGAAACAAATGGCAGGTACAGCCATCATGGAGTGTGTGCTCTCGGGGGTACTTAGCTATGTGAATTTCTTTTCCCCACATGTATTCTTATTTGACCTTTCTGCACTCTGTTCCCTCAGTTTGATGCTCATTTCTTAGCTTGATTTATCAATTCCCTAACAATATCTCATGATTACCATGAGGTCTGTGTTTCTTAAGTGGATGCATATGGTTGCTTGTGTGCTCAGTAATATGAAACAACTCTGCAGGATCTCTAGAAGGAAGGGGATCACTACTTATGTTACAGATATAAGACGTTGAAGGTCTTAGAGTTCTTTTCACAAGTCATCAGAAAGATTGTCAAGAGATCATAATCTGTAGATAACTTAATTTTTTTCTTTTTGGTTGTCTGGTGCTGGGGATTGAGTACAGGGTTACACGCATCTTAAGCACACACTATCCGTGAGCACCAGTCCCTTAAATCCATTACAATAATTTATTAGCTTAATAAATGTGTTTACTGTGCCATCATCTTGAGAAATTCATATCCCTGAGCAAAAAAGTACTTCTTTGAAAACAACTATATTAAAATACAGAATACAGACTTCATTAGCATCAGTCACACAAGAAGAACTCAAGTCATGGTGACTAATGCTATCATTCATATAATTTCTAGAGCAAAATGAAATTGTAGTTATTTCTATTTTACTTACAAAGAGTCTCAACTACATTGAGCAAGTTGCATATATCACACAAATAGAAACATTCAGATTAAAATATAATTGTTATTTGACCATGCAAACTAGGATCATAGCACACTATCATTCTCTTTGGGACATGAATATGGATACTTACATACTTTTATAAACTTTTTAGATTGAAGGTATCTTTGCACGCTAAGGTTTTCCCATCCCATTATTCTTGCTTCCCTTCAACCACAAACCTTCCACATTTGTTCCGCCCAGGTCCCCTTTTATGCCTTTAGATCTATATTTTTCTAAAATTGCTCTTTTCTATTGCTTTGTCTGATTCTAGTGGAAATTTCCTTTTAGATCTTCTGACAAAGCATTGCTACATTACACAACTTTCTAATCCTTTGAGAGTTGGAAGGAAAAATTTAATGTGACTTTGACTTTCCTACCTGAGAACACAGCCAGGATCATGAAGGGAAGAAGCATTAATGTCCCCATAGTAGTCAGCTGTTTCAGACTTGGTTGCTGGGTAGACTTAAGTGATGCTCTTCTGTAGCTCCTTTCTAAATCAGTAACACGGTATATATTTGAAAAATTCTCCACCCTGATTGCTAAACACTGTCACTGTCTTGAAAAATTACAGAGTAACTTTCACAAAGGTGTTGCTTTTTGATTGAATTTGAGCTTCAAACCTAACTCTCATAAATACCCAAATTTTAATACGCATCTATTAGAATATCTTCTCTCAGGGGAAAATGGTGAGACACATTGGGAAAGTGGAAAATTCACTTTACTATTAATGGTTGGTTTATCTTCAGTTGGTATTAATATTCATTCTAGAACTTTTTATGTCCATGATAGAAACTTTCAAAGTATTTTCCCATGAAATGAACTATATGCGAATCATTTACCTCAAATTATATATTTAAAACAAATAAAATTCACTGATTACTGGTCATTACTAACTTATAAATGTACTCAATGGGGGAAGATGACAGATAATGTGTTTTTATGAGGTAACAAAAGACAATAGAATTCATGTTCGAAGAATGACATTACACTAGGGCCTTCTTGTCTCAAGTTATTGCACCCAACAGAAGGTCATGTGAAAATCACCTTGGGAATTTTACTTGATCATAAACTAAATATTATAAAACAGTGGAATATTGTCTTCAAGGTTGGATGTTCTCTATGAGAAAAAATGAATTATTGGGTGCATGTCCAAAAGATATCCTTGAGAGTGTAAGTCTAGACAGCAAAGAACATGAGGAAGGTTGAAGGGAATAAGAAATATTGGCTTGAAAATGGAAACACATGTCATCTGGTCATCGATGTCATCTTCACAAAGGCATTTGGATGGAAAAGAAAATATCATTTGATTTTTACAGTTCTAAATGACAGAGTATAGCAAAGTACAAATTAAGTTTTTTCAAATTTTAGAATTATATACATAAAAGAAAAAGCCCAAAGCCAGGAATGGACGCCTTCTTTTGGAATAACTGGAGGAATCCCATATACCCTGGGTATAGCCATTGTTCATGGTTATCCACCAGAACTTAGCAGTAAGATCTTATTGCTAAACATACTGCATATGTGAATTGTAGGAAAAAAAATTTGGAAAATTTCATCTTTAGAAAGAAAAATAAGGGGGATCCTTTTTGTAATCTATTTCACTTCTAAACTCCTTAGGTACAGTTGTCTTAGTTATGTTTGAATTTTCTCTGTAGCCTATTTGTAAGGACAATTTTTTCCTGATAAATAATTTATTTTAATGAAATCATCAGTTTTAAGACCTGTAAAGTGACAAGTTTAGAATTTTCTATACTAACAAGACACCCACTTCTCTACATAATTGTGATTTAAACTCAGTGAGATTCAGTGAGTGTGACTAGAAAACCAGAAGGCCACCTTGGATTGTGTGCACGCACGCGTGCGTGAGCATGTGTGTGTTGTGTGTGTATGTGTTGTATGTATGCTGTGTATATTTTGGTGTGTGTAGTACATGTGTGTATTGTGTGTGTTGTATGTGTTTGTTGTATATATGCATGTTAATGTGTGTTCAAGTGTTCACACAAGTTTAGATTTAAAGATCAGATGTATTTTGTATATTTCCATCATGTAAAGTTTCGGGATACAGACTAGTTGAAAGATCTGTATAATGAAGACCTCTACATATACCACCAAGATTCATTAAGTGCTATTTTTGCTATATTTACTTTACTATATATTCATATTTAGAAACGTATATGTGGAATTCAATAATGTAACTTTCCAAATAATGTATGAGACATGATGGCTGAATTTGTATTTGGTTTAAACAGCTGTCTCTAAAACAGTGCTGTTAGTTGCATTACCCACAATGCGTCCCAACCCCAGGATGTTTGACATTTCGAAACAGCATTATCATTATTAAGCACAGGATACTAAAAAGGTAATTAAAGTCCAGAGAGATTCTCCTCTGAGGTTCAAGAGGCTGCTTGAACACTTTAGTTGAAAGTGTCGCTAATCTCATAGAATGGTTGTTCCTGGGGTTTCCGCCCTCCATTTTACTCTGGAGGGCTATAGGATGAACTTCTTTCAATGCTACAGCTAACTAAAACACTCACCTTTTTTTTTTCTTTTTTTAATAATTTAAGT